CCCCCTGCCTCCACTAGCAGGACCAAGGTCTGATTTTGCCCCAGATCCCTAAGTGGCCCCCTCAAGAAGTGAGCTCACAACCCTGGGTTTAGCAGGCCAATGCTCAAACCACTGAGCTATCCCTCCCCCCCCTCAAACTGTTGGTTGCGACCCCACTTTTATGGGGTTGTCAGGGTTGGCGTTAGACTTGCTGGGGCCCAGGGCCAAAGCTGAAGCCTGAGGGCTTCGGCCCTGAGTGGCAGGGCTCAGGTTACAGGCCCCCAGCCTGGGGCAGTGGGGTTTGGGGGGGCTCAGGTGTTGGTCCCCCACCCCGGGTTCATGTAGTAATCTTAGTTATCAGAATGGGGTCACAGTGCAATGAAGTTTGGGAACTCTGGTCTATGACGGTGCAGGGCTGAGCCCCGATGAGTCTGATTTTGGCAGGCGTGGCTCATACCGGGGCGCTCACTCACTAGGGCTGGGCAGGAAATGACATTTCCCCCCCCAGGAAAAACGGCAGGAAATGGCTCCCCTCACCCCCAGCTGTTGAAACTGCTCTATGAAAACGACCGGGATTTGGTCAAAAAACATGAAACCCTGAGAACCGGGAAAAGGTCAGATTTCTGTCGCCACGTTTGGGGGTTTTGGTTCATCTGCAACCCCCCCAAAAATTCTCAGTGAAAATGGATTTTTTGGAGTGAATTTCTGTTTAGTTGAAAAGGTTATTTTTCCACCAAAGGAATGGAACACGTCGTAACTTGGGGGGATATTTGATCGCTGAGCCCTGGGACGCCAGGCTGGCTTTGTCCTCATGAGCTCTGTTCATAACAGTGAAAGCTCATGTATTTTCACCCTGCAGCGTCCCCTGAGATCGGGGGCGAGGCTGACCCCGCCTAGCCATTGGACGTCCCGCAGTGACATGCTGATGACAATTTGTTCCAGCCAGTGTGAAACGCAACGTGGACTCGAACTGTTCTGGCCATTAACTCTAGAGCAGCGACGTAAGTGCGGCCCTCCCCAGCACGCTGCATGGAAGAGCGGGATGCAGACGAGGTTAGTTCCCGGGTCTGCTCCTCATTCTGTCACCTCCTCCCCGTCTCTAGCAAGACTCCCCACAGGTGCTAGTCAGTGGGAGGCTCCCGCTCTGGAGTGGGTACCCTGGCCCCGCAACTCCTTGCCCGCAGGCCCTGTTGTTGGGGCAGTGGGGGCAGGTGGGAGGGTGCGGTTGGTTTCAGGCAAGGGGAGTCAGGACTTAGGGTCTGCAAGGGTCCCCGTTTGGCTCTGCCTGCCAGGGATCTGGCAAGGAAAGATGTGGAGAAATTGGAGAAAGTCCAGAGGAGAGCAACAAAAATGATGGAAGGGCTAGAAAACATAAGCTGTGAGAGAAGACTGAAAAAATTGGCTTGGAGAAGAGAAGGCTGAGAGGGGACATACAAGTACATAAAAGGCTGTTATAAGGAGGAGGGTGATAAATTGTTCTTTTTAACCTCTGAGGACAGGACAAGAAGCAATGGGCTTAAATTGCAGCAAGGGAGATTTAGGTTGGACACTAGGAAAACTTCCTGTCAGGGTAAGTAAGCACTTTGCCTAGGGAGGTTTTGGGACGGAGGTCACTGGAGATTTTAAAGAGCAGGTTAGACTTATCTTACCTGTCAGGGATGGTCTAAGATAATACTTAGTCCTGCTTCAATGCAAGGGACTGGTCTAGATGACCTCCCGAGGTCCCTTCCAGTCCTACCTGTCTATGATTCTGTGACCCTCTCCCCCAGTCTCCAGGTGGGATTTCCTTCATTCCCAAGGATTAACCTGCCTCCAGGGTCCAGGAGCTCCCCACTGATAAGAGGCCCCTGGATTCAGATGCCCCTTTACACACAGAGGCCAGGTCTGAGCTCAGGAGGAAGCTCTCAGTCACTCTGTGGTGACTTTAACGTTATCCGGCTGTGTTGAAACTTGCACCGGGGGAGCGGCTTCCTCCTTGTGCCAGCTCAGAGAGTGGCACACACGTACACAGCCCCATGACCTCAGATCCAGTCCTGCTCAGCTCCCTGGTTCCACTCGGAGCACCCTATCAGAACCAGCCCCCGGCTGTGCCCTTCACACTCCCCACTCTGCCCTCCCCTGCTTGGGGCGCCCGGTCATAAACATACAGCTAACGGGGGGCATAAAATCCCTCCTTTACCTGTAAGGGGTTAAGAAGCTCAAATAACCTGGTTGGCACCAGACCAAAAGGACCAATAAGGGAAGAAAAGCCTTTCAAATCTGTGGGGGAAGGTTTTTGTTTGTGCCTCTTTGTTGTTCTCTCGGACAGAGAGGGACCAGGGCAGGAAAAACCATCTCCTAAACCCCTACCTGAAATAAGCATCCAAGAGTACAAATTGTAAGTAATAGCAAGGAAATGCATTAGATTATCTTTTGTTTCAGCTTGTGAATTTCCCCTGTGCTAAGAGGAAATGTTATTCCTGTTTTGTAACTGGGAAGCAAAATCAGAGATGATCCTCTGGGTTTTAAATCTTTTTATTTACCCTGTAAAGTTACCTTCCATCCTGATTTTGCAGGTGTGATTCTTTCCCTTTTTAAAAAAATAAACTTCTTCTTTTAAGAACCTGATTGGTTTTAGTGTCCTAAAGAAAAGGTCTGTGCTCACTTTATTAGAAGCAATTGGTTGGTATATTATTCTCAAGGGAAGGGGGTGAAAGGGCTTGGGGGGATATTTTGGGGAAACAGGAACTCCAAGTGGTCCTTTTCCTGAATCTTTGTCTAACTCACTTGGTGGTGGCAGCAATACCGTCCAAGGACAAGGAAGGATTTGTGCCTTGGGGAAGTTTTTAACCTAAGCTGGTAGAAATAAGCTTAGGGGGTCTTTCATGCGAGTCCCCACATCTGTATCCCAGAGTTCAGAGTGGGGAGGGAACCCTGACATGCCCAATTCCTGTTATCCCAGACACATTTCAGCCCTGGCCATCTGGTGGCCGAGGGAGGCTGTCCATGAGGATAAAGAGCTGAAGCAGGACGCTGATCTCCCCTGATTTCTGAGCTTTGTGTTTTAAAATATATTTTTTGTAAAATCCAAAGTTTTTACTATGAGCCTTTGAGTTTGTACAGTGAGCTAAAATGTAACCCTTTCCACCATCGCTCCCTTCAGTCCCTAATCCCACCAGATCTGAGCACTGCCCAGTCTTTAGTGTATTCCTCCTCCCAACGCCCCCGTGAGGCAGGGCAGGGCTATTATCCCCATGGCGCTACAGAGAAACCGAGGCCCAGATCTTTGAAAGTCTTTAGGGGTCCAACAACAACAACACACTTGGACAGTGAAGGTCCATAGTGCTGATCGCCCATGTCCACCTTGTAGGGCTTTATTCCAGGCCTCTAAAAGCTCCACGGGGTTATTGCTAACCTGGGGCAGCCAGGTTAATTGTGGGTGAGCATGTGGCCGCGCCCAGCCCATGACCTCAAGTGTGATCTTCAGGGCTCGATGTTCAGGGCCGTTGTCTCCGAGATGGGCTATATGACAAAAGGTTGTCAGCCGTTGATGGCCAGTGGTGACTTCCGTCCTCTCGAGGCTAGTTCTCACTAATACATCCCTATTAGTGATAAAATCAAATGAACGTATGCCCAGTAGTCACTGCCGGAAGCCCTGGCGAGGTGCCTCCCGCCTCCTGCTGTCTCGTTTGAGCAATGTCCTGTTTCAGCTCCGTAGAAGATGATCGTAAAGACACACATTGGCTAAAGCTGTACTTTTGTGTATTTAAGGGTCCAACTCCCACCGATTTCCTGTTGACTTCAGAACTGCAGAATGGAGACTTAGTCTGCTCATCATTCCCAGGTGTATCCTGTCAGTGCCCACGGTGTGCCGCACGCTGCCCCACATGCAGGGCGACACTGCCCCAGCCCTCAAGATCTCATACTCTCCCCTTGCCCCATTGTCCTGTATCTCTTTATGCGCAAGGCTTGGTACTTTGACATTTGTATTCTCCCAGGCACCTCCCGGTTCTCGGCTCCCTGGAGCTTCTCCCCAGGAGTTGACACTACTTCTGGACTGGGGCTGTCAGACTTTGCTTTCCCCCCACAATGGGCCTGTGCATTTGGCCGGGTGCAAAACAAATCCACCCAGCAAGGGACTGTCTTGTTTCCTGTCAAATCGTTCCTGTGCACTGGGGTGATGGGACCCACAGGCAGTCCAAGCCCCCTCTCTTGGGACATTTAAAACTGCACTGGACAAGGCTGCAGGGAATGAAATCTAGGGAACAATCCTTCAATGGCTCCAGGGACGGACTTAATGCCTGACCTACTGGGCGTATTCCAGTGCCTATTTGCTGCATAGTGTTAGTGTGCGTGCACCTGTGTATGAATGCAGCTGTGTATCTGGAGGTAGTGTGTGTATGCACATGGCTGTGTCTGGGAGCGGGTGCATCTGTATGCAGGCATGTCTCTGGGAGTGAATGTGTGCATGCAACCGTGCGTGTGGGATGCATCACGGTCCATCTTTGTGGGTGAACATGTGTATCAGGGCTGGGTGTGCGTGTGACTCTGGGGGGTTGTGGAGAGCCGGGGAGGTGTAAATAGCTGTGTGTATGTGAGTTGTATTTCTATTCAGGGCTGGGGTGTGTGTGCGTAGAGGTATGTCACTGAGGAGTGTGCTGGTGTATATGGGTGTGCGTATTTCATAGAAAAAGTGTAACCTGGATTCACACCCTCCCGTTGTTATTTGTTTTGTGAAACACAACACCCAGCTGATGAAGTTTAAGCAGATTCATTGAGTTTAAGGCCAGATCATTCAGCCTGACCCCTTGTATAGCCCAGGCCGTGTGTGTGTGTGTGTGCCGGGATGGTGGGATATGGACGCTGGTGTGTTTGTGTGTGAGGACGTGACAGCCGGAGGGGGCTATTTCCTTGCCGGGATGGGTGAGTGTTGGATTTGTGACATGAGTGCTATTCAGGAAAAGTGCCAGAATTCACTTTAAACAGAACCAAGGGGTTGATATAAAAATATTTATTCTATAACAGCAATGTTTCATGTTCTGTCAACCCCACCCCAGCCACTGTTCAGCAGTACAGCAGACCCAGCCAGGGCTAAATACCAAATATATTAAACAATCTTCTGCGCGTCTGTGACGTGAAGAGAGACGGCCCAGCCGCTCACCCCCACAGCTCACAGCGAGTGTTCTATAAATAATATAATTAACAGTATAATTAGTAGGTATTACACCGATCCAGGATTTTAAATAGCAGTACAAGATAGTTACAAATTCTTGGTTTTATCCGGGGTTGGGGCAAATTCAGCTCCTGTTTCTGTCTCGTCAGCCTGTCCTTTGAGGGTTTACACTCCCACTGCCGGGGGCGGCGCATCGCCCAGTCTGGCCCCTGCTCCTCTCAGTTCAGTTCCAAGTCGTTCACGTACTCTTGAACCCAGGATTCACTGGGGTTGGCACAGAGCTCACGGCCCTTCCTCGTGGTGAACCTGGGGGCAGGAAAGAGACGGACAGAGTCAGAGGAAAGGAGGGGATATTTCTTGCAAGTGCCCACCCCCTTCTGGTATCCGCTGCACCCTCATCCCAGTAGGTCTAGTCAGGTCTGTTCTCGCTCCCTGAAGGAGTCTCCATCAGCCCCTCATGGTCCCGAGGCTGCCACCGGGCTGCCTGTTCCACACACTGGTGCCCCCTTGAGATCTTTCCTCTCCCAACCTCCATCCTGGCCACACCTCACACCATTATGCCTTGGGTGCAGGGCTTAAATTCTCATAGATTATTTCCCTGAGCCCCCCCCCCCCCCCCCACTTCCCCCACAACATGCTAAAAAACTTCAGGGCCCAGTGGGGTATGCGGGGAGGGGCTTCAGCCACTGGGCTGAAGTGGGGGGAGGGCTTGGGGCTTCTGCCATGCGGCAGGGTGTTGGGGCAGGGCTCTGGTCTTCAGCTGTGAGGTGGGGGATCTGGGGGCTTTAGATCTGTGGTGGGGCACACCACACCCCCTGCCCTGCGGGGTGTGGGGGAACCACACTGGAGCTCCCCGCAGGTTTGAAAATATTTCCTGAATTTAAGCCCTGCTCGGGTGGGCAGGTCCCATCCCCAGCCTATCATGTAGTTGGAAACCATGACACCCCCCTTCCCGCCCCGGCCAGTAGTGTCCAACTCGGTATTGTCTGTGCTCCTGCAATGGCCTGTAAGTGTTGGACCCCCAGCTACGTTTTCCCCAGTATCTGCCTGTCCGTCTCTATACCAGGAAATGGAATGGACCACAGGTGGTCGCTCCAGCCCATGTCAGTGCCGCTAGGTGTCTGCCATTGGCACTTACACTATGCCCGGCTGGGAGCACATGCTGCTGGTGCTGTAATAATCCTTCACGAAGCTGCGGGGGATCTGCCGGGCTGTGTAGGAGAAGCAGCAGGCAGTCGGGGGGTCAGAGCCAACTGCAAAAGACAGAGATGAGTTCAAACGGAGTCCCAGGGGAGAGGTTTGCATTAGTGGGCTTTTTAAATTAGTCTAGGAGTTCAGTGGTGCCAAGACATGACGATGGCTGAGCGTTAGTACGTATGCAGCGATCTGCAGACAGCGAATTATTTATGCTCCCTATTTCACAGAGGGGATCACTGAGGGACAGAGTGGCAGAGATCTGTCTGCAGCTACAGCGCAGGCCCATGGCAGAGTCAGGACCTGAAGTCAGGAACGGCCTCACAATCCCATGAGCTAATCGCTAGCCACGCCGCCACTTTCAGCCTTGCCAGGGCTCTCTGGGCCCGCTGGAGTCAGTCCGCTCTGAGGATGCTCAGTATCTGGCGGGACTGGGTCCTTAGTGCCAGTTTATTCACAGAGCAGATGCAGCAATGCCAGCTTCTGTCAGCCCACCCTGACTTGGACAGTCCCTTGGCGGGTGAGCGGAATACCCCGTGGCCTCTCTGCTAGGCTCATCAGCCAGGGTACCAAATGATGCCCATCACAAGGGTAGTTTTGGTGATGTGGACCCCGATCTCTGAGGAGTGAGACCACAGACTCATTTCACCTGGCTCCCCAGACAGCCACCAGAGGGGCAGGGCTCTTGGTCACGTCCCGTAGAGGCTGCATTTGAACCGGTAACCTAGGGATGGAAGCCCCTAAGCCAACCAGCCCCTCTCCCACATTGTCTGCGGTGTGCATCTCACTGCAGAGATGTGGCTTTTACCGGAGAGAGACAACTAGCCTGCATCACCCCGAAGTGCCCCAGAAAAGGGGCTGCTGGTGGTGTGACAGCACTGACGCACCATGGCTGGCTAGCGCAGAGCTAACTGGGTTCTTCTTCCTTCACTACACGGCCAAATTGGCTCTGAGAAGATAGACACGGAACTTACTTGGCGCGGAGAAGGCCAGGGAGCAGAAGGCAGCGATGAGGAGAACGGCGAGGGCAGCCACGGAGACCTTCATGTTGCTGTCGGGTAGGGATGAGCCAGAGATGGGAGTCCGTCAAACCCTTTGCTGTCTGATGCTGAGTCTCTGGTCTCTCCCCCTTCTTATAGGAGACTGGAAATCGAAAGGAGAGCGAACCCCCAGAAACTGTGGAAATTCCAGCGCATTCAGGAGGTGACGACATGGTGCAATTGTGCTATTTGTGGAAAAGCGAAGCAGTAGCCGCAATGGAGGAAATCCCGGAATAGTTTGTGTGAGGGGCCGAAGGGCCAAGGCCCCAAGTTCTTACTCTTCAATTTGATTTCAACATCACAGGAAAAGACCGAAGAAAATGTGTCATAAGCGTTTGTGGAAGTGCAAACTGCGCCGATCACACTTGTGTGCGGTTTAGAATCATAGAATCATAGAATATCAGGGTTGGAAGGGACCTCAAGAGGTCATCTAGTCCAACCCCCTGCTCAAAGCAGGACCAATTCCCAACTAAATCATCCCAGCCAGGGCTTTGTCAAGCTGGGCCTTAAAAACCTCCAAGGAAGGAGATTCCACCACCTCCCTAGGTAACGCATTCCAGTGCTTCATCACCCTCCTAGTGAAATAGTGTTTCCTAATTACATCAGACTTAGGAAATGTTGGAAAGAATACAACCAGTCTTATATAGAGATTGATGCATTCAAAATCAT